TGCAAAACGCAACCCACAGGGCCACATATATGTGAACCGGGGCTTAGTCCTGATGCAAGCAGTGGGCTGGTACTTGGGAAGAGTAATGTAAATTTCAAAATGCATTTCTGGGTGGGTGTCAGTCTGGAGGAGTGGGTGTTCCTAGGCAGGCAGTATTAGCATAGATAAGACCCACATGTGATGCTGAGCCTCCATGATTGAAAGAACAAAATCCAATGAATGAAAGGGGCGGGTCAGGGACAGTCAGGCTGGGGAGAAAATAGCTAGATGATGCTGGTGGTCCTCCAGCCAGGAAATGAGGCGGGGCTCTGTCTGACTTGCTGCAGCTTCTAATGCACATTGTGAGAAGCTCACAGTGTGCAGTGAAATCAGAGTAAGCCATTTTAGTCCAGGAGAGGAGCCGGTACAACTGTGCAAGACTGAAGGGAAAGCCGGAGGTCAGATAAAGCCATCCCTTTACCAGAACCATCTCAGTATGATTTAAATGACAGGAAAAGGCAAACAGAACTCTTACTGGAGGTATCACAGAGATATTACACGCCACTGACATTTATTATAGCCTGAGGGCCCTGGGAATGTGTGGTTTACCCAACATGCCTGTCTATGTCTCCACTTATCTCCATTCTGATTCTCCTGATATGTGATGGACATTTTAATTCCCCCCTCACCCTCCAGTGTGCAGCGATCTGCTTTTTATCTGCACATTTTACATTTCCCTGAAGAATGGTAAACCTCCCGCAGAGTGTCGGCCTGTGTCAGACAGAATTGTTTACTGACCTGCAGTTGTCTGCAGTGTGTTTACTGCCAGGCCTCATTAATTCTACCCACAGAGACTTCAGATTGCTAAGCGTCCCTAATGTACATCTTCCATGGTTGTCACATTTGTCCTTCCAAATAAAGCTTTGTGGATCTGAGCTCTGCATGTGGAAGCGCACTCGGTGTGTGTGTGGGGTCCTTGTCTGTCCGGCTCCAATGTGCTCATGTGGCAGCCATGTTGGAAAAACAGCCTAAAAACATAATGTGCAGTCTGGCCATATCCCGGGGCCGGATCTAGGGAGGTGCTGGGGTGGGCTGCGGCACCCCAGATTTTAGCTGAGCCCCCTCTAGGTCTCTGAGAGTGCATCTACCTATCCATGAGCCAGTCTTATGGAGGCAATTGATATAAGGGGGCACTCTGATTGGGACAATCTATGTAAGGGGGCACTGTGATGGAGACACCTGATGTAAGGGGGCACCCTGATGGAGGCCTTAATGTAAGAAGGCATTCTGATGGGGACCCTGATGTAAGGGGGAACTCTGATGGGACACCTTATGTAAGGGGGCACTCTGATGGCCAACATCTTATGTAAGGGGGCACGCTGATGGGGACACCTTATATAAGGAGAACTCTGATGGGGACACCTGATGTGAGGGGGCACTCTGATGGGGATACTTGATGTAAGGAGGACTCTGATGGGGACACCTGATGTAAGAGGGATTCTGATGGGACACCCTATGTAAGGGGGCACTCTTATGAGGAAACCTGATGTAAGGGGGTCTCTGATGGAGACACCTGATGTAGGGGTGGCTCTGATAGGGACCTTAATATAAGGGGACATTCTGATAGGGGACACTCAGATAACCTGATGTAAGGGGACATTCTGTATGGCTCTGACACCTTAATATAAGGGAGCATGGGGACTCAGAGCACTCAGATGGGGACACCTGATGTAAGAGGGGACTCTGATGGGGATACCTGATGTAGGGGTGACTCTGATAGGGACCTAAATATAAGGGGACATTCTGATGGGGACCCTGATGTAAGGGGACTCTGATAGGGACACCTTACATAAGGGAGTACTCAGATGGGGACACCTGATGTAAAGGGGGAGTCTGATAAGGACCCAGATGTAAAGGGGACTCTGATGGGGACCTTATTGGAAGAGGGTATTCTGATGGTGACCCTGATGAAAAGGGGGCACTTTGATGAGTACTCATGATGAAAAGAGGGATTCTGACATAAAGGGACACAAGTTCTGTTTATCACCTAATCCAATGACAGCCTAATATATATACGTATATATAAAACATACTGGTGTTTCCCAGGTCATGACACTGTGTGACAGACTGTCAGTGACTCACGCACAATGTTGACTTTGTGCCCCCTAACATTTCTTTGCTGCACCCCCAGATCAGATTGGATACATCCAGCCCTGCCACACTGAGCTCCACCCATTGCTTTCTGGATTGACAGTACTGCTGATGAAACTCCTCCCACTGTGAGCTGCAGTGTCTGGGAGGAGGAGTGTGTGAGACACAAATGAAGGTGAATTTTGGGCTCCTTCCTACCTATCTGTAGCCTTTTTTAACAAGAAATGTTCTAACACTAATCAATACACACAATAAATACCTGAATGTCTTTAATTTTCTGCTGCTGAAAGGTGTCGATGGCCTCTTCTAGCTGCTGTGTGGTCCGGGCTGCATCCACAGATGCCTTCTGGACGTTGGATTCTGCCTGTGAGGATTGAGCATTCCAAATCGACAATCAGTTTCATATGAATACAAATCCAGAACCATACAAATCACTAATGAGTGACTTCTGAGTCAGTGATGGTCAGTTTTTTTTTATATAGGGGCCCTCAAGTGAAGCCCGTTACATCACTAAGGCACCATTGACACTTGTGCAACTTCAAAATCGAGCGATTTTGATTGCGACTTTACAATGCAACTTTGATGTGGCTTTGAATGAGTGCAACTTTGTTCTGTACAAAGTCGCACTCAAGTTGCATGAATATCATTCAGGTGTGACTTTCATGCGACTTTGGACAGTTTACATTGAGGTCTATGGCCCTCAAGTCGAATGAAAGTCGGACCAAAGCAGTGCAGGAACTACTTTTAAGTTGCTGTGCGACTTGAAATCGCACATATATGAATGGTACTCACTGGGAAACATGGGGTGCGACTTGTCAATCGACTTTGGACCCTAAGGTCACATGACAAGTCACAAAAGTGTGAATGGGCTCTAAAGTACAGTGATTGTAATGTTACAGAAAACTGTCTGACTGCAGACATACTACAGGATATAGTCACAGATTGCAGATATGCTACAGGAGATGGTCAGAGACTGCAGACATGCTATAGGAGATGGTCAGAGATGGCAAACATGCTACAGGAGATGGTCAGAGACTGCAGACATGCTATAGGAGATGGTCAGAGACTACAAACATTGTACAGGAGATGGTCAGAGACTGCAGACATGCTACAGGAGATGGTCAGGGACTGCATACATGCTACAGGAGATGGTCAGAGACTACAGACATAGCACAGGAGATGGTCAGAGACTGTAGAAATGATACAGGAGATGGTCAGAGACTGCTGACATGTTACAGGAGATGGTCAGAGACTGCAGAGATGCTATAGGAGATGGTCAGAGACTACAAACATTGTACAGGAGATGGTCAGAGACTGCAGACATGCTACAGGAGATGGTCAGAGACTACAGACATAGCGCAGGAGATGTCAGAGACTGCAGAAATGATACAGGAGGTGGTCAGAGACTGCAGACATGCTACAGGAATTGTTGGAGACTGGGGACATGCTTCAGGAGTTCTTCTAGAGATTACGGCTATTAAATCCGCTTTACAAATCTTCCACTTTTTTTTGCGCCCTGCAGCCCCTTAAAAAAAGACAGGAGGGAAACCATAAAAAGAGAGAAAGGATGGACAGCACAGGAGTGCGATGTTGTGAATGAAATAAACCAAACTATTCAACAAGATTGCAGTCTAAAGGATATTTTCCTTCAATGACCTTAGTGACAACCTAGGCAAGGAAAACACAGACTAATGTCTGCAGTGGCCCCAATGGCCACACAATAAGTGCCAAATGGCTGAACGTGACCCCAAGGACACAGGTTGGCCACCAGAGCTCTGATGAATGTTGTCATTCCTACACCAACAGGAACCCCCCACCACCATCATCACCATATGGCATGGTGCAAGGAAGCAATGTTAAAATAATTTGTTGGGTTTAGAAAGTCATGGCTTCTTCAGAGTGAAATGGAAAGACGCAGAGCCCGAACCAGGGGGTCAGGTAGGGCAGCTTCCCTGACATTTCTTTGTTGTTGCACCTTGCAACCATCAGACAGGCAGAAGCAGCACTGGGATAATCCAGGGAAGGAGGGCACATTGAGCTGATTACAGGCGGAGGGGGAGATCTATCTGATTAGCAAGAGAGATTACAACTTGTTAAAACAAACGCTCTAATGAGAGCTCCCAGGCATGATGAGATTAGGCAGAGCACCTCCATGGGAATAAATGACGTCTAGACTTCCATAATAAGCGCTCATCATCTTTATGAGGCGGACAACTTTGTACCATCCATACTGAACAATAACACATTATTGTGCTGATGTGGTGGCTTTGCTTATAAAGAAAGGGTATTAGGGTTCCTCTGCTCTTGTGATCAGGTGATATACAAAAGGTCATGTCTCCAGATTACAGGGGGGGGGGGGGGGGGGGGAGGCATTAGGACAGGTCCTGGAAAGTCAAAAGGAGGAATCACTGAAAGCCCATTGCACTCTTAAAGTTAAAATACCTTCCCTGGTTCCTCCCCCATCAACCTCCTAATGATGTTTTCAGATAAAACCTTTTCATTTTCATTACATACCTTATCCTAGGAAGGCAGGAGGTCAAGTTTAAATGTCACCTAAGCTGTAGACTGTTAAAAATCAGGTACTTCCCAGTCCAAGGAGTCCAATGCTGTCCAATTCTTCTCACCGCTTAGGGTCACCATTGCTTCCATCTTGGATTTAGGAGCTGGCTGTGACTTATTTATTTATTTCAGGTACTTATATAGCACCGTCAATTTACACAGCGCTTTACATATATATTGTACATTCACATCAGTCCCTAACCCTCAAGGGGCGTACAATCTAAGGTCCCTAACTCACATTCATACATACACATACTAGGGCCAATTTAGACAGGAGCCAATTAACCTACCAGCATGTCTTTGGAGCAGGGGTGGACTGACCATTTGGAAACTCAGGCACTGCCCGAGGGCCTGGCATCAGTAGGGGGCCCCATGTGATGCCCCTGGTACCTTTTTCATTGGCTTTTTTGAGTTTGGGCAAGGACACAGGGGCCCCATGATCCCCTATTGCCCGGGGGCCCCATGAGTTGCCAGTCCGCCCCTGATTTGGAGTGAGGGAGGAAACCGGAGTACCTGGAGGAAACCCACACCGGCACAGGGAGAACATGCAAACTCCAGGAAGGAGGTGCTGTGGCTGGGATTCGAACCAATGACCCTAATACTGCCAGGCAGAAGTGCTAACCATTTAGCTGCTCTGCTGCCCACTTCCTGATAAATCCATGTTTGCATTTTTAGCGGGTTTTTTTAACCAAAAAAAATAATTATTTTTTTGGTCAAAAAAGTCCAAAAACGCCAGTTTGCAAGTTGCAAGAACGTGCGGTACAGTGAGACTGGTCTGGGAGGTGTGATGTGTCCAGGAGGTAAGCAGACATCATTCTCACCCAATTGAGGAAACTGGACCAGGAATCCTGGGTTCTGTTTGCGTTTCCCGCACCGCGTTAAAAACACACCGGGTGTGAGTTCTGCTGCAGGTGACAATGTAATCCTAACGACACCCCAAATGCAGATCGCAAATACAGAGCATTCCAGTACCAGGTGATCCATTTACAGTGCCTTTCTAGTGCATGCACTACTTATGGTGCGATCCAGGGTGATTTCAGCCCATGCAAATGAATGGGCTGAAAATTGTATCGCAGTAAATCGCACAGGAACCTGCTCCACGCCAGTGTGAACCAGCACTGACTCATTAGATATTCTGCTTGCTTAGCTGTGATGGGTCAATTCTGACCTGACTGAAAATGTTGATCACATTCAGGGATATATGGCAGGAACAAGATTTTATATACCTGTCATACAAGTATAAATTCATGACACAGCTAACCACAGATCGATGAAGATGTCCAGAATGGAACATGCAGGGTGTCACTAATGCAGAGATGTCCAGAATGGAACATGCAGGGTGTCACTAATGCAGAGATGTCCAGAATGGAACATGCAGGGTGTCACTAATGCAGAGATGTCCAGAATGGAACATGCAGGGTGTCACTAATGCAGAGATGTCCAGAATGGAACATGGAGGGTGTCACTAATGCAGAGATGTCCAGAATGGAACATGCAGGGTGTCACTAATGCAGAGATGTCCAGAATGGAACATGCAGGGTGTCACTAATGCAGAGATGTCCAGAGAGGAACATGCAGGGTGTCACTAATGCAGAGATGTCCAGAATGGAACATGCAGGGTGTCACTAATGCAGAGATGTCCAGAATGGAACATGCAGGCTGTCACTAATGCAGAGATGTCCAGAGAGGAACATGGAGGGTGTTACTAACACAGAGATTCAAGAATGAAGGAAAACTACAGGCAAGCCGCAGTACTGGGATATGGATATGCTGTAGGGGTAGGTGATTGTGTTCAGATATTTGGCAGAGAAGCGAACGATCAGTTTTCAGCCTGCTAGAGCCAAAAATGCCTTTGTGCAATGGAAAGGCCTCTGCGTGGATTTAAGGGCATACTGACTTTGTGATCTGAGCCAAAAGGCAGACCCAGCCAAATTCAGCTTTACTATAGCAGCAAAACTGGAAACACATAGGGGTCTATTTATAAAAAAAATAATTGCTGTGCAAATGTCTCAATCATTCACTCAGCTATCACAAATAAATTTTGCCTAACATGTTTATTTGCTATGATCGCAGCTCCATCTAGTGGCTTCCATGTGGTTTTTTCCTGCAATACATTTATCAATCAGGAAATACCGCTTTATGTCCACAAGATGGAGCTGAAAATCATAGGAAATAAACATATTAGGCAAAATAGAGGATTATTGGTGACAGCTGAGTGAATGCTTGAGACATTCACACAGAAGAGCAGGCATACCCACTTCTTTTTTAAAGCCAAACTCCAGGAAATTTTGTTTTCTTTTTTTTGGATGGAGAAGGGAAGGGTTAGAGGCAAGGTAATTAACAAAACAATCAGTGTAGTGCTTTAGCAAAAAAATAACAACAAAGGGATAATGATATCCAAACCCCTACCATAGTGGAATGATTATGTGCCAACTTGCCCTCCAGAGGATATACCCCCCTTCCTGACCAGGCCATTTTTTGCAATACGGCGCTGCGTTACTTTAACTGACAATTGCGTGGTCATACAACGCTGCACCCGAATGAAATTTATGTCCTTTTTTCCCCACAAATGGAGGTTTTTTGGTGGTATTTGATCACCTCTGTGTTTTGTTTTTTTCTGCACTATAAACAAAAAAAAAAGACTGACAATTTTGGGGAAAAAACAATATTTTTGACTTTTTGCTATTCAACATGTCCAGTAAAAAAAATGTAAAAAATCAAATGTTGTCATAAATTTAGGCCAAAATGTATTCTGCTACGTCTTTGCTAAAAAAAAATCCCAACACGTGTAAATTAATTTTTTTTTAAGTT